AATATGTGTAGTAGACATGTCAAAGATGACAAACGTCAATAAATCTATGTCGAGTTCTGTCTCATTTTGCCAGAATGCATCGCTAATGCGAAGCAAATGACTAACCGAACAAATTATAGGCCTACAAATTAGTTTGAAGTCATTTTGAATGACACTTGAATGGCAATTTACAAAGTTCAGGGGAAACAGGGACAGGAAGCACGTCACACTTTGGACCCGAAATCTATAGAATGAACTTTAACTCCAGATTGACAGATAAAATTAAATTTCACTGTCGGGGAAGATAAATTTGTATGGGTGACATTTAATTTTATACTCTACAAGGAAAGATACATACATCTTGCAAGCTGTAGCAATGGTTGTTGGGAATGTTACCGGGGACATCTTATTCACGTGTCGGCGATATTAAATTCAAAGCGAAGTAAATTCTTCGTTTTTGGAACTTGCGATTAGAAATGAAAGCAATGAAATAAAAGTTCATTACAAAATAATAGGGGGCCTACCAGTCTACTCTGATGAACAATTTGAAATTTGTGATTAAACATACCCTAATGTTTACGCCACGTTTACACACACAAAATTGAAAGTGAAGCTTGACATACACTCCAATGTATAGTCTGGCACCATCCCATTCAACAGTTTACAATTTGTAGAATAGATTCAGGGAACATGATCGAAAATGGCTTCCTTGAGAATAAGGTCTATGAAATGGTTTCTGGGGAAACAAAGAGACTTGAATGGATTCCACAACCAATAACTACCGGTAGGAATTGTATCATTTCAAGACGGTGTGTGACAAATATCCCAAAATATAGCACAAAAAGGATCTAACTTCACGGGTGAATAGGTGAATTTCTGTATCTTCACGAACCACATCCAATTATGTCCCAACTGCAGGAGACGAAAACCATATATTCATTTGTTCTGCAGCTTTCATTTTGACGATGAGCCAAATTGAACGTCGTACTATCATTGTGGCTTGTACTTTCAGCAAAAGTGCACTGCTCTTTTCAAATTTGGTTACAAGACTCCGCGTCCAACTCGGTCTAGTCCCTTTTTTTTTCCCATTTTCTTTTTCTTCCGAGCGTCGAGGTTTTTTTTTTTTGCCATCGGCCAAGTTGCGGTTAAATTTGAACTGCCACACAGTAACAAAGATTATGCTACAGGAACTGGGAACCGGGGGTAAAAGAAAAAAAGAATCTGGCATTGGTGAAATTAAAGAGATGTGCATAGTAGAAACGAGGAAAAAATATTTATTACTGGAATGGAAAGTATCTAGACTTCACTGTATTTCAAGAGCTTTAAAGGTAGAGTGGATCATTTGCAGCTATCCAAGAAGTAACTCACCAAATTATTGTCAAAAAGCGTACTTGGTTTAAAGACAGTTATGGCACTAATCTCCCTATGAAATTATTCTTTCTGGCATGCTGTTTTTTTTAAGTAAACAATAAAAGACGGTAATTTCCAAAGATGAGTCAATTGAGGCTTTTTTCGAATTTTCTGTTAGTAGTTGATTTGTAATTAGGCGAATCCGTGAATGGGTTCTCACAAGCACTGACAGTTTCTGTTATCCGTCATTTCGGTGCTCGACATCACGTTACTGCAATCTGTTGAATGAAAACGTGTTCCGGATGCTGATTTCGGGCGCAATTCAAAATATGACTTCGCAACTTTTGAATTGAAATCAAGATCCTAGAATATTGTTTTCTCGGAACATACAGCATTCACATAGCACAAACCTCATCAGGTTAGTTGTTCAGCATAGTCTTTAGACTTAGAGCACTTCTGTTGCTTCAAACAAAACAATGCACAAATAATCTACTCTACCTTTAAAGCCAACCATTATTTTCAAGGTTTTATAAGTTTTTCATTTAAAATTGAGTGTTATAAAAAAAGCTACCTTTAAATCTTAAAAATGGGCATTGAATGCAGCCAGTGATTGTAAAATTAAGAATGAATGAATACATGAAACAGTCAGTTTTACAAAATTGAATAAGTTTTATCAAATACCCATTTCTTTTTACTTCTAATGTTAACACACCCTTTTATTCAATTGCCACAAAAAAATCTTGCTAAATATTTCCACAGAGAGAAACTTGTATTTTAAAAATCTGTACTCAACCTTAGTCCAAAAAACTGAGTTAGAAAATTACTCAACCGTGGTGTCAAAATTGGTTTCTTAAACACTTGTCATGTTGTGCATTCTGTATGTAATGCATTAGTCACCCAAGAAGGCCTTGAAAGTGCGTCCTTAACATGAACACAATATAAAGCACATCTCTAAATAGCATTTGTACCTATTCACACGAGCTTTACATGTACATTAAGGCCCTCATTTGAAAGACCCGTGCAGCATCTACAACACTTCAGTTAGAAAAGAACTTCAATTCATTCACTGGAAAGTGTGGTCATCTCCTGCCTATTTTTTTTCCTAAGCCAAGGTTCGGAGTCCTCAGCGTGAATTGAACTTCAATAGATGGGGAGCTTGGAAGCATTTCCCCCATCACTTTGCTCATGTAAAGCGCGGTACAAACGCAACCTCCCAACACAATCAATCATTAGAGATTCATTGCTGACATAGTAGCAAGGGCTTTTGACCGCTTGTGGGAACAGGAAAAAAAGCTTGAATCTTGTTGCGTAATGCCAACAAAAGCCTCACAATTACCGAGTTGACAGAGTATTGTGTGTTTTAGCTGAGGTACGAACGCGAACAATAAACCGTTCACCACTGTACAACTGCTGCCAACGTTCCAGCACTAACCGACCACAGCGCACACACACTCACTAACACGCCAGTTTAATTTGTCTCTCAGCACCCCCAATCAATCAACTTGATATTTATCTCGATCTGTGTCCGACGAGTTCCCAACAGATTTTTTTTTTTACTTCAACGGCTGACAATTCAACCACCGACTTGATCACTTAACGACATACTTAACGCCGTGGCTAGTGATAAGGCAATCTAAACAACACGGACCGGCCGAGGAGATCAAAATTGGTCATAAATTTTCCCAGGTTGATCCGCTCCTGTTTTTTTGGACACTGACAGGTCAGCGCTACTAGTGCTACGCGATCTCGTTATCTCTGCGTGCAGTGTTTAAAACTGTCTACCATATAAACATCAAACTGACATTTTGGGAAGAGATATTTATTTTATTTTCCCACATTTCCTGCCGGGATAATTGTCGGCATGTCACAAAAACATTTCGCGGCTTTGCGGAGATACTAAACGGGTTACATTCCTGATCTCAAAAAGGGCAATGTCCTAGTTTGTATTCAACGCACAGGGTTGGAATGTGCCCGGCGCCGTCGTGCGGAAAATACACAACATCAAATGAACTCAAGAAATGTGGGAATCTTCCTTGTAACAATGACACGTCTGGTAAAAAAAAATCACTTTGTGAAAGCTGACAGTTAAAGCTCAAACCGAATAGAATTGTCAGAATACCGTAAATACGGAAGTAAGGTTTCAAACGAACCTTCAGTTCTGGGAAGGTGTCGTGCTTAAATCATAAATTTCGGAGAATCAACATCAAGGAGCTATAACAGCCAGGGTTAAAATAGCTCCACGATCATATCTGCTAGATTATTCGGATCAAAAGTATTTTATTACAAACAAAAAAGCCTTCGAAGTTAGACAGTTTAACACATCAGTGACAGAAAAATGGGGTGAAAGAGTATTCCCGCGATCATCTGAAATCTACTCCCGTCTCGTGCCCGTTATAACGCAAGGAGCCACCGCGCTTCGACATCGCCTTTTACCCGCTCCGAGCAAAAAGCTGTCATTTCCACTTTCCTAAATTGTTTCTCACCAAGCGCCGTTTTACACCGTTATTCCACCCCCTACTTCAAACGACGCTTTTTCCCCCTGACCAGGACGACAGCTAAATTACCTAGACAAATAATTACTGATGTTGTTTCACAAGTATCAGGACTAGAGCTAATTTTTGTGGGCCTGGGGCAATCTTTTTTTTCCCCCGCTCTGTGTACGTCTCCCTTTCCCCTTCGATCAGTTTTCATAAAAAAAAAATGGCTGCGCTCTCGGACTAACACGCACACACGCGTCTAGCATTTAGTGACTTATTGCACAGTGACAATGGAACACCGTGCACCCGAATTCTGGCTAATATTTCCCGGAGATTAAAACTGGGGTAATTATATCTATCCAGGACGCGATCCATTTTCTTCCCGCGATAATTACATGTAAGTTTTCAGCTGGCGTCATTTTTGGAGGCAAGCGGGAAATTTGCGATATTCCAAGTTAATTTAAAATTGCAAGGCTTAAAGAGAAAACCTTCATCACGACTGTTTAATTTTTTTGAAGCATAATTTTACCAGGACTGGATATGCACGTGCATTCCCAATTTCAATCTTGTTAATTTCCCCTATTTCACCAAGTCTGTGAAAATTTAAACTATTCTTATCATGTTAAACCTGGATAATTATAATCTGATGTAATTTAAAATATGAATCAATTCTTATAAATCATCTTTATTTTAAAAAAATCTAAAATTTTCAAATTTGGCAAGCTAAATACACTGACTTAGAAAAAAAATTGACAGAATCCTCATAATTCGGTCAACCTAAGTACAATATTTTCAAGCCCATGTCATGAAAAATAGTTCATACTTCAGTTCAAAGTATAATCGGCAACATAAACTGACATAACTGTTGTAGATCTGTGGCTGAATTTCCCTGTGCAGTCGCTTCTATCGGCAATCAATTTTTGTTTGTGGACAATGCAATCGACAACTAACGCATATACTTGTCGACCAAAGAAAAAAAATAGCCGGGACCCCAAATGATCTCCAAAAGTGAAGGGAGATAAAAATCGAAATCCCGCCATTGATTTTCCGAGTCGGCATGCGTCGGAAAACGAAAACGCGCGGTTTGTTTACAAACGGGCCGCCTGCGCCAGTTTGGTGAACTTCCAGTTACAATTCCATCGGGTCCCGTTAGCTTAGGAGGTCAATCCAACGCAAATTTCGATTTTTTCCCCCTTCTTTTAACAAGTATGTTGTTTTAGCTTTCCTGGAGTAATCTTTGCAGAACAGTTCCATTGATGTTGAGATGAAGTTTGTCTTGGATGCTCACTTTAAGAGGATGCTGGAGTTTAAGACGTTTTCAAGGATGGCATCAACAGGTTTATTGAAACATTTCTATTTTCTAACTTCAGATGGACAATTCTTCCTTAAAGCAATGTTCATTTGAATTTCCAGAACGTATTTCAGCTCTCCTGTACTTTATTATGCATTACATGAGATTCTGAACTATTTTCTTTTTTTTTTATTTTGCCCAGTAGACATCAGAAAACAAATTGAAATACAACTTCCCTTAATTAATACAACCGCATCAAGCAATAATATACTTTTTTTCAAAATGATTTTTAACCTTTCAAAAAAGAACCGGTAAAGATTATGATGATTTTCTGCATAATAATTACATAACTGTTACACTGTTGAGGAAAGAAAATAGCCATGTAACAACTTTTTTTTAACTAAGAATTAATATTCTGTATAAACCTGACGCCATTTTTTAAGACAAAGTTTTGGACCCTATTTTTAAGATGTGCAACTGTTTGCATGTTTGTTTTGATACAATTTTTAAAATAAATGCTACAATCGGGGTGGAGATTTGAAGAAAAAAATAGTAAAATTCTTACCTGCTAATCTGAGTGCCGACATCCTCTGAAACTCAGGTTCCTGGAGCCATTTCCACATCCTTCTGAAAGTCTCCCGCCCGGATTTGAGCTTACTCCACGGCTTGGGATTTCGCAGGAGATCGCTCAATGTTCCCTGGCTCCGGCACAGCACCCTCTGGGCAAAGACAGCTTGGGGGATGCTGTACCTCTTGAGCTCGCTCGTCACCCTGCCTGCTACCTCTTTGGTGTTGACTTCTTCCCCAGTGTTCCCTGAATCGACCCGGGACGACCCCCGATCGCCCGACCGTCCCACGGAGTTGGGACTCGGGTGCGTGTGGCCGGTCATCCCGGCGTAACCGTTCAAGACCATGGGGCTGGTGAGTCCGGATCTTTGGTGGTGATGCGAAGGGGGTTGCAGTGCTCGCATGTGGTGTGGGGAGCTGGCATGATGCGTGAACTGCTCGTAGCCGTTCATCGGGGATGCATATCTGGGGTCTTGAGGGGTGCAGGACATGGTACCGTGGTGGGGGGACCCGTAGCCCCCCATGGATTGATGGGGCGCGTAACCGTTCAACACCGAATTGTGGCCCATGCCGCTGTGCGCGACCATGGAGGAATGTCCCATGTTCATACCGCCGAGCTTGTCGTAGGGGTTGGACGACATGCCGTGGAGATTGGAGCCGTTCATCAACGTGAAGCTGCCGCTGACATTGGACGCCTCGTGCCGGAACTTATCGGAGACCGTGGAGATCGGAGGAAGGGGCTGCAAGGGGGTCAGCGTGGTGAAGTTGTTGGAGCTGGTGGCCGCCGACTGCTGGTGGTAACCATTCATGTTCAGGGGCCCCATGCCGTAGTCGGCCACGCTCCGGAAATCGGGCTCCAACATGCTGGCGAGGGAGGCTCCGAACCCGATGCCTGCTGCTGCTGCTGCCGCCGCTGCGCTGCCCGTGTGACTCCGCGAAGTCTTGGCAAGTTCGACGGGGCTGAAGAAATCACAGGTGATCGCCGAGGAGGAGAATGCCGTGGAAGGGCTGGATTCGGAGTGACCAACGTCTCCTAGGCCGCTATCCAATGTGGCGGCTAGCTCGCTCGAAAGCATCACAAACTCTTTTTATTTTTCTATACGGTGCGAGCCCGCAGCTAGCGAGAGAGCGGTTGAATTGCCGACACAATGTGCACGGGGGCTGGGTTTAGTCAGAAGAATCACCCACTGATCGCCGCGTCAGTGCGCGGTGCTTACCACACACACAACAGCGGTTTCACTCAGTCGATCCAGAAGAGACACAAACCAGAAGAAGAAAAAAAACCACGGTGTAATAATAATAATAACTCACTATACAACGGCGTGCATGGAAACCACACCAGAACGGACGACTCGAGTCATGGGTAAGGGGCACGGTGGAAAAACCAATCGGAAATAGGAACGATGCAGGCTTGATTAACCTCTATAGTCACGATGGAAGGGAGGCAAGAGAACTTAGCATGTGATGTATTGCCCAGTCCGTGCCATGTTGTTTATACAGCTGCGAGTGATGCACGCGTTTTTCTTCATATATTCCCCCTCCGCGCCGGTGTATAGTAATACGCGACAAGGCGCCCTCACGCAGGCATCAGCACGCGTGCGCAGATGCATCGCGGTTGTCACACGCAGAGGGTTGAGGGTTTTGTTGAAGGTGAGTTTTTGGATGAATGGAAGGGATTATTGCCCAGCTATTGTTGGACCACTACACAGGAGGAGCATCTCCTATCTATTCCCTTTGTCTAGCATGTGCATTGTCTGTATCAGTTAAACCCTGTGCAGAACCCATCCCGCAACTTTACTTCTCCAAGACTTCATTAATTTTGCACCCAGGGTTGTATATATTTTTTGTTACTAGCACTGCAGACTAAATAAAACCAAGTTACATATCTTTTTACTTTCCCTATAAAAATGTCCAATAAAAAAGGCTGATTATGAAAATAAAATACGAAGCGAAATAAAGTCCGGAATTGCCGATTTTCACAGATGCGATTTGTGTTTGTAAATAGTGGGACCTTGAGATACAACATAATCCTATTGATTACGTCGTGGTGCGATGTAAATAAAGAAAAGGCCAGAGTATTTTTTTGTTAGATCTTAAGGTAAAGGTGAGGTTTGTCATTGTTTTGTCTCGAGTCTTCGTGACGAAGAAGGTGATGCAGATATGAACACTGACTCATATGTTTGTTTCATTGTCTTTTTGCATTGTTGATACTTTTTGTCACCTTTTCCCCTGTGTTTTGTTGCAGTTGTTTTCCTGATAAGAATGATTCATTGATTTTTTTCATAGTATAATTTTTTTTCATATTATTCAGAAATATTTCTTTTTGGTAAGAACGAGCGGCATTGTGGTTGTGTTGATGGTGATGATGGTGACGATATTGAAGATGACAATAATGATGACATCAACGATAACGATAAAGTAATTACTATGCCAACGAAGATGACAATTCTGATCGTGATAAAAAAAAAATCACAAAGTGTTCTTCACAATGTGCCATCCATTATACTGACCTATTCAAAATCTCTGTTTTATTATGTTTCTCAAAGATTTTAATATAAATACAGAGTATATTGTTTAGTACAGAAATAGCTCGCAATAGGTGCCCATTCGACCCAATTTATAGGATAAACTATCTATATAGGTTTATAGGATATACGATTTAAAAAAAAGAATTCAAAAATAAAACTGCCAAAATATAAAATATCCCATTTTTTTTCAAGGTATGAAGTAAATAATAGGATCAAACATCCTGTGAAATCGTTTCGCCTAGTATGCTGTCATTTTCAAGAAAATAGGAATAAATCATGTTTCGCGATGTTTAGGACCTAACCATCGCGTTTAGCTGTCAATAGAAAACGTGCTTTGCGTGGAGAAAAATAAAGATGCACTTTCCCAGTTTTCTCAAAAGGTGTACTATCCACTCCACTGAACTGAAACATCTGACAGGTAAGGTTTTTTTAACAGTCTTCTTTTGATTCTGAGTGGTGTGGTGGTGTTATTGGAAACGTACTAAATGCATGAACAACAAATTACCCTATGCAAAAGAGATTACTCAGCAAGTTTAGATAAACAAACGGTTACACCTCTATGTTCCGACACCATGTTCCGACATCCCTATGTTCCTACACCCATATGTTCCGACATCCCTATGTTCCGAAACCTCTATGTTCCGACACCCTATGTTGTCGGAACATTAAATTTTATCACTAAATGATCAAATTGTTTATAAGCAGCAAAATTTGCAATGATCTTCTCCTGTTGGCTATATTATATGTGTTGTGCAAAATGAAGGCTAACTCCATGCAAACATCTCACTGTGAATGCATTACATACTGTACTTTCTTATGGAGAACTTTGTACATGAAACCCCATAGACAAATTTGTGACAAAAGTGAGATCCTGTAAACAGAAGAATAGCCAATCAACAGCCACAAATTTTAACCAATTGCTGAGCAGGCTTGGAGGGGCAACCTTGTGATTTTTTTATTTGTCTGCTTATAAAGGGGTGTCGGAACATAGAGCAGTCACCAAACAAACATCAGAAAAAAAGAACCAGTCCCAACAGTGTTATAGGCTTACATTGCAACCTGTTTCCGCTAAACAAATCATTTTCTGTGCCATAAACTTTTCCGTGCATACCAATTCTCATGCAATTTAGCCCCATATCACCCACAGCTCAATTTCACCAGGAAGAAGATGATTGGCACATCTGAAGCGATCTCATGCCCTCGTTCAACCGACAACTGATAGCACCCAGACACCCTGTAATAATGCTATCACAAATTCCCAGATAAAGAAAAGCCAGTTCTTTCTGTGCAAAATCTGTGATACGCTCGCACAGATAACACGCACGGGAGCCGTTATAAATGAGTGATAAATGCACTTTTGATTTACGCCACACAGAATTAATTGAAATTTTTAATTAAGTCTGAATTTAAACACATTTTCGGTTGACTTCTCTCTAGAGATAGTTACATTTTTAGAAATAGTGTGGAGCGTATGAATTTTATTTCATGGGCTTACGCCATTGCAGTGTTCCATGTCATAAACAAACTTTCAAGTTAAAATAATTAATCAATTATTATATTATGTATTTTTAAAAAATCATAAAAAAGACTTAATACAACAAAATCAAGAATTGTCTCCCAATGGTATTTTATTAAGCATAAATAATTATTATCCATGTTGTGACGATAATCCTTCGTGAAAAATAATGAAGCATTAGAAAACAGCGCACATAAATTTTAAAAAGACCATAAGTAAGACGTAACCAACCAAAATTAAGTATTTTCTTGCCAATATATAGCTTTAGTATTAATATATTATGCTTAATTTTTTAAGCCAAGCCTATATTCTCAATCATCAAAAAGGAAAAAACGTAAGAAACTATAGAAAGCACTCAGAGAGTGCAAACCTCCGCCAAGGCTAAACAACTCCCCGCCATAAAAAGTATTGTCAGTACACCCAAAAGAAATACTCGCATTAAAATGGTGGAGAATCCTCCAAAAAATCCTGGATCCAGACCCAGATCCGGATCACTTCCAAAATTTAATCGATTTGTACTTATACCAAGGACCACCCCTAAAATGTTTTCATGCAAATCCGTCCATAACCGTTTGAGTTATCTTGTTAACAGACAAACCAAGCAATCAACGAACTAACCAAACCCGATGAAAACATAACTTCCTTGGCGGCAACGTCGGATCCAGAACGCAATTTTTTTTTTTGGGGGGGGGGGATTAAAAAAATGTTGGTCCCCCCAAAAGTGGGTCCAAACAATTTTACGGCGTGGGGTTCGGGGCCCGCTTAAGGGCCCCGAAATATTGTTGGATTCTGGGTGTTCTGTGGTGCGATCTGAGGCAATTTCTGACCACTTTAACCAATTTTATTGAGGAAAAGATGATGGTGTACACAGTGCCTGCCTTTATTGCGACGTCAATTTAAAAAAAAAAATCATTCTTTTTGTTGGGGGGGGGGGGGGGCTGGGGGCATGGCCTCCGGTGGCCCCTCCCATCCGCCCTTGCTTGGTGGAGGTAATTATAACATACTTTGGCAGCTGTACGCCCGTGTAGCCTAACTGAAAAGAAACATGAATGGCCATTTTTGTCCAGTAAAGTTTAAGTATACAGAATGTTCTTTCAATCACCAGCATTTTACTTTTGAAAGAAAAAGTGGTGTTACCTGAAGTTTTGTTTTGAACTGTTGTGTTCTTTCGAGTTTTTTTTTAACAAAATGGTTCGCGATTTCAGTGCCATCATTAACGTTTAGAGTGTCCAATGCATTCTTTGTGAAAACATTAATGTTGTAATTGTCCCAAGGCTTTGCTTTAACAGGAAGGAGTAATGACAGAACACATGTCCATATCGAGCCACAATCTGGGCGTATTGATCAAACTCATCGATTGTCTTTTGTGAAGTGGTTTCTGGTATGGTGGATTCGTAACGGTCCCGTCCTGAGCTGTCATCGTGTTTGGATCAGAAATTGGCATGGCAGGTTGCTATCAGCCTGGGCTAAATTGTGGGCCTCTTTTCACCCACAGTGCCTGTGTTGTCATTGAGTGCATATCCGTAAGTACGAGTACGAATGTGTGTTATCGAATAACGCTTTCCACCAAAGGTAGTTCTCAAAGCGCTTCACAGTTATTACCCCTGTTCATCAGGCCATGAGACCACTTTTCTGCTGCCGAGATTTCATTTCATTTATTATTTCGCAGGAATAAAAACAGACATACAAGTATAAACAGTAAACTACAATTATGAAAATTGGAATGACCAATGTACAAGAAAATTGCACCCCTGCAGGATCACAAAAAAAAAGAGATCAGCGCAGGTATACCCATTTATACTCCTGGGTTGAGAGAGGCAATTGTGGTAAAGTGTCTTGCCCAAAAACACAAGCACCATGTTCCCCGTCAGGGTTGGAACATAATGTACCACGGAACGTGGGTCGAACACCGTAACCACTGGACTACAGCGCTCCTCTGAAATGTACTTCCACCGCAATGAATGCGAGAACGAGTATGGTTACCCTGCCTTGAGTATACAAGGATTTTTCCCATGAAGACGAGTACGAGTAGCCTATACATTTCCACGAATACGATTGCGAGCATTGCGAGCACGAGTACTTTTATGAGTTCTAGCACATTTCCTGTACACAATGTTCCGAATATCTTATTGTTGACAAAATATGCATGAAATATGGCAAGCAAAAGCCTACCAAACTTTAGAAAACGGTTTCTGTTCCCTATGTTCCTCTTTAAACGAAATTTCAGTTTCGGTGGGAGAACATTTTCATGAGCGAGTAAGAGTACTTTGTCTTGAGAAAGCCAACTAGTCCGAGTACAGGCAGTTTTTCTTCTTGCGAGTGCGAGTATCCTCATGAGTACGAGTATAAAATTGTGCCTTCAGTTCGAGTACGAGTGCTACAACATTGCTCACTGCTTTAGGCCCATTGTACGGTTGGATTGAGCACGAACCATTTACGAGACAGTACATGTATATAAGAAAAGCTACATGTACTGGTCAATCTCGGGCTTACGAATGATATTGGAAACT